GTGACAGCTACACTTCGACAGAACCGGTTTTGGGTTTTCCTTCCCATACTCCCAACAAAGACCTCGTTCCAAATGTAAACGCAGGTCGAGGAATTGCAGAACCTCGCCCCTTGGCCTCTCTAACGTGAATCTCAACTCTGGCGCCGCTGACCTTACTACTTGTTGTAAAACTTGGTCCAATCCTTCCGGAACAGAGCAAACTAAGATATCATCCACAAATCTTTTCACAAAACACTTTGGAGACAACTCTTCTACCTTTTCATACACTTGCTGGTCCACCGTGTTTAAGTAAATTTCCGCTAACAAAGGCGCCACAGACGAACCTATACAGACTCCCTCTTTTTGCACAAAATTGTGACCTTCGTATTCCAATAACGTTGACTTTAAATAAAGGTCTAGCACCGAAAGAAAACTATCCACCGCTATTCCTGTTCCTGATTGAAACTTAATAAGGTTCCCTTCCAAGGCGATCCTCACTCTATTCATTAGTCTGCTTTTCTCTAAAGAGTAATATAGGTCCTTGATGTCCATGGAGAATACCGCGCACTTCCTTCCGTGAAACTTTTCCATTACTTCAATCAACTCACTAGAGTTCTTTAAGGCAATTGACTTCTCCAAATTAGCTAACTTCAAACCCCGCTGTAAGAAGCATGAGACCACCTTCTGCCACGTCCCATTCTCGTTAACAACTGTACGTAGGGGCATTTCAATCTTATGATCCTTCAAAAAGAATTTAAAGGTGAGCGTTGAACGCAACGGTTTCAAAACGCTTTTCGCTACCTCTTCCATGCTTTCCTCCTGAAAAACCTTGCAAATGCTCTTCCTCAGCTTCCCGATATTGCCCTTCCATTCATTAAACAATGATCCCAACGCTTCCTCCGACTTCTTCTGAAAGGCCTGTACAGGCAAAACTGCAAACCTTCCTGTTTTATCTGTCTGCAACAGTTTTAACGAACTCCTTTCTAACTATTGTTTCACCGCTCTCACATCCTTGAAATTCCTCCTATCGATGGGATACGCGTTTCCCATTAATTTTTCCATGCTCCCTACCGCGTCTTCGACAAACGCAAGTTTCTCCTCACTATCCACAACCCTGGCGATTGACTGTATGTCAGAAAACACGTCGATTCTAGACGGCTTAACGTTTACACAGTACTTCGGACCTCTACCCAAGAACTCCTCCAATTTCTTTGACACCACTACATTTTCCGGGTTAATTATACAATGCTGTTGTTTACAATTTCCTGTCCCCTGTACACACTTATTTACCTCTGCCCCCCGAGAATTCCACAACTTGAAACGGTCCAAAACATGCCTTCTTTTGACATACCACGCACGGTCGAAATGTGTCCTCATGACGGCGCTCCAAAGATGGTAGTCTCCATGCCTCCTGAAGTTCTTTCCGAGAAGAAGATTCCAGAGTCTGTCACAGGCGCTGCGGATGTCTTGAACCCGTTGATCTGTTCCAGACCTGTAGGCTTTGATGACCTTCTTCTTGTCCTTCCACGGTATCCCGGAGGCGGCCAGTTGTTTGTAGAATAGCGGGTCCACATACTTTTTCCGCAGACACATCCCGAAGAACGCAACGTCGGCTTCCAACTCCGCCATCCGACGTCCCATCTTGTCCAGTGCCACGTACGCTTGGCTGATTAGAAAGGCCGGCGTTCTGTTACTTCTTCTCTTCAAGAAACTCCCCAGTCTCAGGGTAAACGACGAAATGGTTGACTTCCACCAGCTAGCCTGTACTTTGACTCTTTTCTCGTTAACTGAATGTGTCTTTATCGGGAATGTGCTTCCATATCCTTGGCTGATTAGAAAGGCCGGCGTTCTGTTACTTCTTCTCTTCAAAAAACCCCCCAGTCTCAGGGTAAACGACGAAATGGTTGACTTCGACCAGCTAGCCTGTACTTTGACTCTTTTCTCGTTAACTGAATGTGCCTTTACCGAGAATGTGCTTCCATATCCTTCCAAGAGGGCCAGGAAAGAAAATATAAATAAACTGGGATAATTGTGAAAGTGGACTACTTTAGAAGAAGAGGGAGAGCGAGGATAGGAAAAATGAGAGAAAGACGAAATGAAAGGAACGAAACAGTATAAATCGTATATCGTAAGTGATATTGCAGTTCTCTTTAATGAACATTGCAAAAGTTACGAGTATTGTTTAAAAATTGTAAATAAAAAACCATGGCCATTTCCCGGTATCAGAGCCGCTCAATTTCATGTACCCTTGGACTTTGTTGGTCGCCACTTTTTATTGACAATTTCTAAAAATCGTTTGTAAATTTTGAATTAGATAAATATAAGTTCCCAAACTTCGGCCCCTTGTTACACCCGCTAGCGCTAGATTTGAACAGAGAATGAGCGTTCGGCGATGCGTAGATTATGTAGTCTATTTTTGCGTTAACGAACAAACAACCAAACCTGGTTTTCTTTTTCTTTTCTTTTTTTTATTAAGCATTCGGTGTACACTGCGTCCCGCAACTGTAACGGATCGCTTTGTAAGGGAGCCCCGCTGTGCAAATCTAAATATTTCATGTTAATTCTGAAAAATTTAGAAGGTACCGTTGCTGCCACCGGGGAAAGTGAGGTGCGGGATAGGCCTGGGGTGGTACGCGGTATCTCTTCGCGAACAGCCGGCGGGAATTCTCCGGAGGCGCAGCTCTTGCACGCGCTTCATGCTAATTATTACACTCACCGTTCGAGCCCCTCACTCCCGGGGGACGCTTAGTATGCAAAAGGCGCAGATCGTCTGACATGGAGTAAGAAGAAACCCGAAGAACGAACTCCGCACTGAATGAATAGGCTGCTGCGGCGTTCTGTTTAATCGTTTTTTAACTGTTATTTTCACCTCTTTTATTCGTGTATTTTCGTCTAATGAATATTTAACTGGAATGCTAATAGGCCCTTTTCAAAAGTCCACGCCATCGCCTGTCCGCCATTGCTTGGTCACCTACTTTGAGCGTGTATTAGACCCGAGGACTGCGTCAGCGTTCGGCAAGGACTCGGTTCCAATCACAGGCGTCGTGTCCAAGCAATGGCGACTGCCAATGTTGTTTGATGGACTTTTGAAAGGGGTCTATTGCGTTTCTGTATAAAAGAAAGTATGCATAGTTCCAAGAAACTGAGCCGGTACCTTGCTCCAACTTTATTTAGATGTTGAATGAGTTATGCCTTTTTCATTATTTTTTTATTTACATAATGTATTACAGTAAGCAAAACGCAGAAACAACTCCAATCGTGCAAAACACACCATTACCGAAAATATAGCAGAAGTTGTCACACAAACGCATAGCCTAAATGCTATAAAGGGCAACTTACGTGGTGTGCGAATTTTGTTTTTGATATATTCTGAACACTTCAACAAATATACACTGCTGGAATATCTTGGCGGAAATGATCCTGGAACTATTGTCAAAATGTTTCGGTAGGACCATAAGAAGGCAAATCTCGAAACTAGCTTGCGAAGCCGACCGTTCTGCCTAGGATTCAGTCTGTCTCTTTTTGTTTTGTTGGCGTTCTAGGTTTTTTGATAACGCCGCGGAGACCTAGCAGAGCTAAGAGACGCAGTTCGACTAAGTTTCTTGGAAAAAGGATGGCTGCTGAGTCTCAGTCTCCCCGTGATTGTTCCACTTTTTACACCTCCCTGTGGGCTTTGCCTCTATATCGTTTTGAGGGGACATTGTCTAAATGTTCACAATTTGCGAGAAAATTTATCGTCTGCTGTTTTGTTTTTATCTATATTTTTTCCAACCAAATATTTACATTTTACTTTTTTATACCGGTCTTTCACGCATGAAGTTTATGCATAACGAATTCAGTAATTCGCATCAACAAGATATATTCGAAATCCACTCTGTTCTAAGAAAACGCCTGAGAGGTGTATTTTTTTATAGATAATTTAATATTGGAGGTATATTTTCGTTAACTATGTAGAACGTACAACCTCATGAGGTTCTTGCTTTTGAATGGCCGATAGTTATCCTGGTCGCCTAATCTGATTTTTCGGTGTTGTATATTGCCCTCTTCTCCAGACCCTCTAAAGCAGCAGTTCGTGACACTTTTAACTATATTTACATAAACAAAAAATATATAACTAAATAAAAATGAACAATTCTTGGAATAAAATGTTTAAGATGCTGTCTTACTTACTGCACATGGAATGTTCCGTACAACTTTGTTTTCTATTTAACGCTCTGTGAACTTGTATTTAAGGACAGTAAAAAAGGTCTGGCTCCTCGTGGAGCATTACTAATTGCCTCCTTTATATGAAGAATTAAGATCTATGTATGTGCATTTTTGATCAGATATATGTTATCTCATCAAGAGTTACACGTTTCAAACACCAAGAGCATCGCTTCTTTCACCGAAAACCAAATCTTGTAAGAGCTACTTCGCGCGGAGTATGAACAATGCGAAAAACTTGCTTTTTTTTCTTGGTGTGACAACGAGTACAACAAATATTCCAATTATTCTTTTTATATTTTTGACGTGAATCGCTCTTTGGCTAGTTGTTGGGCATTTCGTGAAACTCAAAAATGAAGCCTGGATAAAAGCCTGGCCGCGAGGCTCGTCACTGATTCGTTGACGGGCGGGATATCAGGAGTAAGCTACTCGACGCTGATTAGTTAACGGGGACGTCATGTGTCCAGGGGCGGAGTGTGGAGGAGAGGACGGCGAGGGGGCGAGGTGGGAGAGGAGTAGTGGAATAGAAGGTCTGGAAGATCACCAGGTTTATCATTTCAAGTGTACGGATGCCACGCGTTACATCACCCGATGAAGAGCGCGCCATGAAGAAGGCGTCTGGCTGAACAGGCTATACGTGCTGCTAAAGGATGATATAAATGTTTGTGATGCCAGAACGTTTGACGTATGCAACACAATTGCCTAGCAATTTTCAATACACTTTTTTATATTCGCACGAACTATGTAGAATAGTTAATGTTGTTTTTTTCTGGATTTTTCTTTCCGTGATTTGACGACGACGACACGTTTGTTTATTTTCCATTTCAGAGCTCAAACTTGGAATTTCGCTGTGGCGCTCTCTGGCTGTGCTTGCCTGCCAGATCGCCTTCACAAGAGGTGAGTGGAAGCTTCCTTCGAGCAATAGTTTTAAACTTCGTTTCGAAAATACCGTATACTGGCCAATTTTAACAAAGAATGTGTTATATGGCTGGCACTTGACTATTTCCGGTTCCGCACTCCAGGAACGTGATACACGAGTGCTGCGTCATGTTTGGTTAGAACTCGTGTCCTCCCTCACTGATTGGTTACAGGATCCAACCGAACGCTGACGCGAAACTGTTGTCCCGCCTGTGTTCCGCGCCGTCCTCCGATGAATTACCTACATAAAATCCAGCACTACAACCTCGATAACGTTTTTTTTTTCTTTTCTTTTTTTTCTTTTTATTACAACATTAAGAAGAACAGACGTTTGTTCCTGAATCTCTGATCGCAAACCTTCGAAAGCGGTTATCATCGAAACAGATGAAAGTGTTTAAACACAGACCGGCACACATCTTGCCTTCATTCACTGAGTCTCGGTCGAGGCTGTTTAGAAATCAAATGCCTCAGAGAGCGTCTGACTTTGGGAGTTCTTTCTCCGAAGCAGATTATGCGGTCAGCAATAAAATGGAGAGTAAAAAAAAAAAAAAAACTAAATTGGTATGCGGGGGCGGGCGTGAAGGTGTCTCTAAATATACAGCGAGCAAACCGGGAACATTGTAAAAGCGCTTTCTTGGATCCTGTGGTACTTAGGCGCAGCGTAGCAGAAAGAAAAATATATTCCGGAAGCGATGGCGGCCAACGTTAACGAAGTACTTTTGTTTGTATGTGTATATTCCCGACTGTGCTCCTATAAAAAGGGTGGGAGAAGAAAGGTTTCTTTTTACGATCCTCTAAGAAAATGTAAAATTGTCGTTAAAACAAATCCTAAAACGAAAAAAGTGAAAGCTGTTTACAAATCCCTGTAACGCCGAATTGGAGCGCAGCTCTTGAGGAGGAGGAGTGAAGGGTACTGAGGGGAGGGTAGACCCCTCCCCCTTCTCCTCCTCCTCCCCTCATTCTTATATATGCTCCGGGGGGGGTGTCACGTGACTTCGGGGAGGGGGTCACGTGACCTCGGGGAGGCGTGACCTGGGGGTGACCTCAAGGCCACGTGACCCCAAAGGTGACCCCCACGTGACCTCAGAGCGGTCACGTGACCTGGGGGTCACGTGGGGTCACGTGACCTTGAGATGACCTTGGAAGGGGTCACGTGACCTCGGGGGTCACGTGACCTCGGGGGTCACGTGACCTTGGGGAGGCGACCACGTGACCTCGGGGGTCACGTGACCTCAGAGGGGTCACGTGACTTGGGGGTCACGTGACCTTCAAAGGGTCATGTGGGGTCATCTTGGGGTCACGTGACCTTGAGATGACCTTGGAAGGGGTCACGTGACCTTCAGGGGGTCACGTGGGGTCACGCGACCTTGAGATGACCTTGGGAGGGGTCACGTGACCTTGGGGGTCACGTGACCTTGGGATGACCTTGGTTACGCCGACGGCGACGCCGACGCCGACGGCGACGCCGCTCAAGCCGGGAACGGGCCCCTAAGAGCTGCGCTCTAAAAAAGAAAAAGAAAAAAGAAACGGGACTGTGTTTCTGCGCTGCTTTGCTCCAGACTGCGTCACAATGCGGTGCCATTGCGTGTATCCTGTGAAGGCTATTTTCCGTTGATTAAATTGAGACGGACCCTATAGCAGCTAATTAAATACGATCTTATGTCGGCTTCTCGTTTCTTCAGACGACCTTCCGTTATAGCACAATGAGCATGCCTAGCTTCTCTATCCCTCGCCGAACACCGCTCTCTCCACTCGTGCGTCTCTTTGAAACATCGAGTACTCAGTCACACTCAGAATGTCGCCGCTCATTTCATTCGTTAGAAAAATTTTTTTTTTCATTCGCCACACTTTGTTATTTGAATATATATGATCCACAATTTAAATACCTTCATATTTCTGCAATTTAATAATGGGAGCTGGTTTGTACAAGTTTTGCTGACTAACTCATCTCGAGCATCAAATCGTTTTCGAAAGATCATAGTCTGCCAAAATGATTAAAACGGGTGCAGATGGGCTGACGTTGCTATACTAACAAAAGCAGACAGAACGAGATCTCGAAATCATTGGTCGTCAGTGCTTTGGAATCCGAGTTGAATTATTAAGCGCGCATACATTATTCACGAAGGTCCTGCCCGGTTATGCAGTAATGACTGAGCATTAAGGCTCTGCCCAGCTCCACAACGCGAGGCAGTCTTACCGCGTTCTTTTCGCTACTTAGCTGATGACTCCGTCCCCGCTTTGGCCGCTAATGTCCGCAGCGTTTATTTGTTCCTCCCTTATCGCTCCCGTTGGCTAGTTTGGGCCCCGTGGTCAAGCCTGGCGTTTGTTTATATTCTCCGCGTCCTGTCGGCTAGTGTACATGTCACGGGTACATGTACTCACAAACCAGTCTGTCTCTGCTCTTTTGCCTCTCATTCCCCTTCTCCAAAGCAGGGGGATACACTCGGGCAGTCAACGTTGATTACATTCGCAGTTTCTTACCTCCCGTTCTTTCCCTTTTTTTTTGTCGTGGAGAATATGTTAGTCTCCAAAATTCAATTTGTGCAAGGATGATTGGCAGCATGCACGCGCACTGCGCATCAAGATGGCATTTTTCGATCAATGTTATTCCTGTGCACGATGTGAAATCTCAGCACCTCCTGATATGCAGCACGCGTGGAACCACTTGAGAAGTGTACTCCGCCATAATTATCCATGCCCGATTTACGTTAATGTGTGAGAAACCGTAGCCTGTGATAGGGCCGTGGGCATATTGCTTCCCATGAATGTGAGCTGTATGTTGATGACGCTCAGTATGTTGAGTGTCTTTCAGTGGCCGAAAGGAGTTGTCGCTTTGGCAATGAATCTATATGGAATTTCGTTGTGCGTTAGACGACATTAGGCGGTGAATGATGCATTTCGTCGTTCCAGTTTTTTCACCCGGCATACGAGTAAATGTATGTTGGTGTGAGTTGAACGACGCTTGAGTTGGGAATATTGATTATCTGTACAGTTAATCACAATCAGATGAATGATTGTGTTAGTCATAGCAATTTAGTAAAAATTAATGCTGGCTTGGGACTTTTTCTCACACCTCCGAGGGTTTTTCAGACTATCTCATTTAGGGGTTAGGTGGTGCTTAAAGTATACAAAAGTGCCCAGGCTAACTGATTTGCTACGTGACGTTCTGCTCTTTTCATTCTAGAGCGCAGCTCTTAGGCGCCCGTTTCCGGCCTGAGCGGCGTCGCCGTCGGCGTAACTGCGCGTTGCATTATGGGACGTTTTCCATAATGACGTCATGTGTGTCGTCACGAGGACCACGAGGGTGAAGGAGGAAAAGACGGAGGAGAAAATTTTTCACTAAATTTAGCGGAAAAAAATTCCCGCTCACTTTAGCGGAACAATTTCCCCGCTAAATTGAGCACAAAAATTCCTCCGCTGAATTTAGCGGAAAAACTTTCCCTCTAAATTTAATGGGAAAACTTCCCCGCTCAATTTACGAAAAAATTTCCCCGCCAAACAGCACAAAAAATTCCCCGCTAAATCTAGCAGAAAAAATTTCCCTCCAAATTTAGCGGAAAAAATTCCCCGCTAAATTTATCGGAGAAAATCCCCTCTAATAGCGAAAAAATTTCCCGGCTAAACTTAGCGGAATACATTCTCCGCTAAATTTAACGGAAAAAATTTCCCGCTATATTTAGCAAGTAATTTTTTCTGTTGAATTTAGCTAGAGATGTAGCGAAAATTTCCCGCTAAATGATAGGGGAGAAAGAGATATGGAGAGGCGGGGAGGAGGGAGAGGAGGGGCATACTCTCCCCTCCGTACCCTCCCCTCCTCTTCTTCAAGATCTGCGCTCTAATTCGGCATTACAGGGGGTTGTAAACGTCTTTCATTCTGTTTTTTTTTAATGTTTGTTTACGTTTCTTCCATATTCAGAGTTTTGAAACGTCTCAGTGGGTGATGTCATTTTGCTTTTTATGTTCCAAATATCTTGCGAGTACATGTGCTCTTTAATACTTCTATGCCTTTCAACTCGTGTCTGCCGAACCACTTGTGAATATGGAGACAGTCGGAAATCTGCCAAGAGGAAATGCGCTTTTTGCTGCACTTCTCTCCCGGTTTTGCTCGAAAGAACCAGACATAGTCCAGCTGAACTCCCAACCGCCCAAGAAGCCAGCAAAAGCTGAAGGAGCTTTAGGTAAAGCTATCAGTGCATTCAAACGCATTCCGTTCTAAGAATCAGCTCGAACCACCATGCAGCCGAACAGTAAAGGCTGGTTCAAACATATGCGTTGGAGGATGGTCGACTTCCTTGCAACCGCTTGTGGCCGCTTTCGACGACAGAACAGACTGGCGCCATCTATCGGGTACCCCTGGAACACTCCCGATCTGCGTATTTGTTACTCATCGCTCTTTCACCGTGCGCTAGCAATAATCTTGACAATGTTATAAGCGACAATATCTAGTGCGTAGATTTGATCTCGTAAAATACTGGGAAAACGTCAGTGTGGTCACACACAGATTGAAAATTCTCAAGAACTACCTCCTAGATGGTGCCAGTGTGACAATTTATTCTCTCGTTGTAAGCGATTACAAGCGGTTGCGACGCAGTCAATCACACTCAAACGCAAATGTGTGAATCCGCCCTTAAAGAAAAACGAGACGCGCAGCAGAAACCAACATTATATTTCACCCTATGTTTCCTGCTCGTTTCGTCATATTTGACGACGACTGAACGTCCATTACAACCAGAGGGTAGCGTTTAGGAGGACTTCATTCCGCATAACACCTTAAGTGGCTCACTTCCTGTTGGTTGTCCTTGACCGAGTGATCCTCCCGCTCGGACCGAGAAAATGTACTGTACTTGCGCCAAAGTGTGAAACGACCGTAATCTCGGTCACCGTGGAGCTTTATGAGTGACACGTGACCGGCCTTCGACTGGAACACATCGAGGCTCTTCTGCGACGCATAAGGGCGTCTCGCTGAAGAAAGATATACG